CCCCCCCCCCCATGTAAACAAATGAGACATTGGCACTAACAGATTTTTTTTTTTTTTAATACACCCCTAATAATTTATTTCTCAAGTGCTGACTCTTGTTGATTCACGCAACTCTTTCCTTTCTGATGTATGTTCAAATATCTGTTTTCCTAATAGCTGGAATTAGTTGTTTCATGCTTTAAAGAAAGCTCATGTGACACCACAGTTGTGTGCAAGGGAATAAGTGAGACATAAAGCTCCACCTTGCTTGTGCAGATGCTGTTTGCAAAAATGTAATGAGGCAGCTTCCACAACATACTTCCTGCTGGATTCAATTCTGTGGTAAACCATGGGACACCTGGTCTATGCATTTATTATGTTTGTGTTCCAGCCTCAGTGTGAACAGATACCCAGGCCATCTAGTGTTTTGTTCACTATAATCACAGCAAAGGAAACAAACATTCAGTAGTTATTTGACTTATACAAGGTGTGTATTACTGCTGCTCATACTTACCAATGATTTCAACACACAGCAGTAAAACAGTAACACACTCATTCCCATGCTCCGTCAGAAAAAGCAACACTCTACACAAAACTCTCACTTACAGACTCATGAAAACACTACGTCTCTCGCTGGAGAAACCTAAACAGGACTGCATTAAAAAAATATAGTTATGACTCCCTGATTTCTAATCACAATCTTTAGCATTCATGATAATAGTTGACCTGCTGAATGTCCTACAAATAATACGTGGTAAAACCTGAAATGGGGCTACTGGGTTTGGACTACAACAGGATAAAGAAGAAAAGGACGTCTTAGCAGAAAATACAGATGAAAAATAAAGCAGTTAGGATCAAAACAAACTGAAGTTTATGAATAATGTGCATTTTCAGTTCTGAGAATGATGGGAGAATGTGACTTAGTGAAATTTTAAAAACTGTGAATGGTACAATGAAAGTAGGAATGCAACAAAGACAAGATCCTGACAGAAGAGGAAAGACCAGCCTCATGGTAAAAAGACAGACGAAGTGAAAGAGACAGTATTTACCAGAACGGAGGGACGCACTCAGCCAGTGGAAGTGGAGGACAGATTGTGACTCTGGGCCCTGGGATTGGCTGCTTCTCTCTGGAAGTACTGCGAGGGTGCGGAGCCTAGCTTATGGGCCATCGCTTTTTAGGGTTATAGGGAAAGAGGGGGGGGGGGAGGAGGTTGGCAACGTCGAGGTGTTACGGAGGAGTTGAAGGCAGGTGCACAAGGGAGGTTAGAGAAAGGATTAAGAAAAAGATGAATAGAGCAGAAGAGCATGGACACCACAGAGAAGACACCGTTCATTTGAATGAGACAGAAGGACAACAGAGACGAGCAGCACGGAGCAGACCGACACCAAAAAAACAGAAATGATGAAGAAATCTGAAGCAAACGTAACGACTGAAACAGATGTGCAACGTTTACATGCTTAAAGGCTGAAACTCACAGCTGTACTTCAGTTAGATTTCAGAAACCTTTTACATTCTCCTGCAGCTAAACTCATCTTTTTTACAAAGTTATAAGTTACTGATAAAATTAAACATTTTACATGCTTGTATTTGATTTACAGAAAATGTTAAATAGTTGGAAAAGGTCCAATTTAGTTGCTTCTGTTAGCTGACTAACCAAAGGAGGATTTGCTAACTGGAAAAAGGACAAAGTTCATGTAGCCCACCCTCTCCCCCATGTTGAACCACTTTGACCCGGATGGCCTCAAACTAGTTTGAGAGTTTGAGCAGGCGGCGGGGGAGAGGGCAGACTACAGGAACCACCTGAGCACCAGCAAAATGGTTGAGCCACTACGAGAAGGTGCTATTTATAAGACTGAGTTTGTTGTGGCTCCTCAGACTGAAGAAGTCTTCTGGATGAAAGATGAAACATGTCAACAACAAGAACTCATCCAGAGGATCTGACTTGACTGTTAGATTTCTGTATATTGTTCCCTTTTAAACACAAACTGAGGACATGTGCAATAAGTTTTAATACTGACAGAAAGAATCAGCTGTACTTTACGATGTCAAATTCAAATCCTGATTTTAAAAAAAAACCCTTTGTTTAAGTTTATAAAATCACCCATAAGTGCTTCTGGAATACTACTCTGTGTTTGGGCTTGAATTGGAAGGATTTCTGTGGGAAACGCTTGTTAAAACAGTTAAATCAAATGGCAACATAAAGCTGGCTCTAAAAGGCAGTCAGTTCCTGCAGATTTCTAAAATCAAATATTAACGTTTACAGCAAATATAACAATGTTACAGTCTGGTTAAAAAGGGAAGCATAGCCAAAAATATTGGAAACGAGTTTAGTTGAGAGCAAATTTAGTCTAAAAGCATATGACTGCATGGATTTGTGTCAATACGCTCATTTTGGGAAAATTGAAAAATAATTATGAAAGGTAACACAACTCACTCTATTAAGACGTGTGTTTAGAAGTCATGGCTATTTATCTGATGCTAAACTAAATCATACAAGTATGGGGTGTTCTATGAAATATTAGGGGATCATTAAAGTTAAAACCAAACTTATATCTCAATAACTATTGGTAATACAAGTATTTGTTATTAAGCGGTAATAAAAACACATTTAGTGACAGTTGCTCTTAAATACAGTCATTTCCAAAGACTTGGTTAGTAGGAGAGACCATATCTGCTCCAGTTTTAACTTTGCTCCATTACAAAGCCCTCAACAACCTAGCTCCATCTTATATTACAGATATAATTGTTCCATATTTTCCTAACAGAGCACTTCGTTCTCAGACTGCAGGTTTACTTGCGGTTCCTAGAGTTTCTAAAAGCAGAATGGGAGGAAGATCTTTCAGTTATCAGGCTCCTCTCTTGTGGAACCAACTTCCAGTTTCTGTCCATGAGGCTGACACATTGTCCAGTTTTAAAACTGAGATTAAGACTTTCCTTTTTGATAAATCCTATAGTTAGGGTTGGCTTGTTATGTTGCTATAGGCTTAAACTACTGGAGGACAAATTGTCCACATTTCCTAAAATGAATAGTTAAAATTGAATAGTTTTCATTTTATATTATTTCTATCTTAACATGCGATTCTCGACCTGCCATTGTGTATCTGTTCCTCCTTCCTGTTCCTCTCAAACCCAGCCAATCGAAGCAGATGATCGCTTGTCCTGAGCCTGGTTCTGCTAAAGGTTTCTTCCTCATGAGGGAGTTTTCCTTTCCACTGTTGCCTTCATGTTTGCTCAAGATGAGAGTTCTGCGATGAAAACAGTCTGCTCCTCGGATAAATAATGTTAACTTATTTATATATATATATATCTGAATGTTTCTGTTCAGTGCCCGGAGACGATTTCTGTTGTGACTTGGCACTATAGTTTATAAATAAACTGAACTGAATTGTTATTATTGCCTGGCAATGACAGAATGTTTTGTAATACTGATATTTAGAGTTAACACGTGATGGAAACCTGAACTTTATGAAAGAAGGAAACATTTTGTGACACGAGCGCACAGTGATGAGACAAACATGAAGACAACAATTAAACAGAAAAGAGAGAGAAGACAAGAAACAAGGTCTAAACTACCAGTCTATTCTCTGTCCTACTTATGTCGAGGGTTTCTAAATGTCTATGTGTTCGCCTTCCTTTTAAATTATGGAGGACTTACTGGACTCGGGGTGGATTGAGGATCTCTTTCCTGGGTCTCTCTGGAGTTGAATGCCTTTTACAGAGAAGATTGAAGCAGCTAATATAAAAACAAAAGAAACAGAGGGCTGATGAGACCGGTTGTGCTAAAAGGTGAATATTTAAGTTATATTTAAGTATGCACTCACTGTCAGGCAGTGTTTGAACCTGCTCCCCTAGGCTCCTGAAATATGCGTGTCTGAGAGCATCCTCAGCCAATACTCGCTTCTTTGCTTCAAACTAAAAGGCACATAAAGACAGTGATGGGACATATTTATCCAGTTTATAAGGAATCCACATCTTAGACAGTAACATACTTTACCTGTAAGAGCAATAAGAGCAAGTTATGACCATCGCTGTCTATCCTGTGATTGAAAAAAGATGGATGAAAAACAGGTGAGCGGAGGGCGTCCTCATGCTGTACAGAGCAAATATTAATGTTCATGCTATTTTAAAACAAGGGAAAGTAATTCCTGGTCATTATCCTTCACGTCTTAAACAACAGTCACGCACACTGCCATGGCTTTGTGTACCTGGGTGCGTGGGTGACGAATGGCTCTGCATGGTAACGAGGGAAATTGTAAGTCTTAAATTCTTCGTTGGTTGTGATACCGGGCCAGGTTTCTTCTGTAGGAGTGCCTGGTGACAGTGAACACATGAGAGACTAATTAATGTATTTTATTTTAATATTTTATTTCAACAGGCTGCCAACCTTCTTGCCACTAAATAACATTTTTGTTTGACACACCTGGGCACTCATATTGCTGCCCAACACATCCCTCTTGGGGGCAGGTTTTTGAGACACAGAGTGAATGCCACAGGTATTCATGACATACTGCTCGCTCATGGTTCCAATGTTGCTTCTAAATACCCATAATCCCACTCTGTGGCTATGTGACCAGAAGTCACCCTTGAATGAACAACGAGGTACCGTACTCTCATTGAGTCACGAGAACACACCCCCAAGATAGGTGTGCATTTATCAGATTTCCTGTTCAAAAATCTGCTGGCTCCTTAGATAAAGAACGTTATTAATTGAGTTTTTATGTATGTTTATGTTTCTATGCAGTGACCTGAGATGACTTCTGTTGTGACTAGGCCTGTCACTATAAACAATAAATCAATTTATCACACGATAAATTTAATTTATCGACATTTTCATTTATCGGCTTCATCGTTTCTTCGTGTTTCTCTCTTTCTGAAGACACCGGATGACAAAAGGATCAACTCCGGTGCTCTTCACTGACCCCTCCCTTTCTCTCTTCTCTTTATAATATGTTGTAACCATCCTTAAATGCAGCTAAGCTGAGAAGCTAGGCTAACAGGCCGACCTCGGGGGAAAAAAAATCTCCTTCTTGTCGAAGCTCCAAAATTCACGGTTGAAACCCGTGCCTTTGTGTAAAAAGTTGTTTTTCTTTGCAAAAAGAAGCTGAGAACTTGTTTACTGATTTTTTTATTAAAAGCTTTGTGTGAAAAATGCTATGCTAAAGAGCTCAAACCACACTGAGCATCTGCCATTTTGAGAACTGAAAAAAGGAAAGAGACAGCCCATGCCATGTCAAGGGGCCTCCCTCCCATTTCTCTTAAAGAGACACGCTGCTTGCTCCTTTACTATCCATCCTTCTATTCAAACACTTATACTGCCATCTGGTGGTCAAAAAAGGTATTACATGCAAAACAAATTAAACACTTTTAGGGATGAAGATGTTCACATCCTGGACAGAGAGTAACGATGGTTTGAGAGAGGAGTAAAGGAGGCCATCTTTGTGAAAATAAACCATCCATCATGAAACGGGTGGAGGCCTCCGTGTTCAACTGTCCCCCTCTTACAATGCTGTGATTGCTAGTATCACTCAGCCCCCTGTGAATAGTAAACAGCCATCAGTGTGCCAATGATCCATTGTTAGGCTGATGGTCCTTCTTGAGCATGTGATCAGCTGGTTTTGGTTGTCAGCAGCAAACTGGCTGATCCACTCTGAGAAGGCGCTATTTAAGAGACTGAGCTGAATACAGCACCTCAGACTGAGGAAGTCTTTCGGATGAAAGACGAAACGTTTCTACTTTTTTGTTTGTTTGTTCTGTTTTTTGAATGTCCAGAGAACCAGACTTAACTTTTTTAGATTTGTCTCCCGGGATTATTGAGCATGCATCAGGAAATTAACCAACATTTCTTCTTAAATTTGACATTGAAATTTGACAATAATTATTAAACAATATTATCGTTAATCACTATAATTTCAGAGACAATTAATTGCCCAGCAAAATTTGTTATTGTGACAGGCCTAGTTGTGACCTTGCATTATATAAATAAAATAAAAATCAATTGAACTGAAATACTGGTCAAGTAAAAAGAAGAAGAAAAAAACAACCTGAAATGGTGAGGGGAGGCAGGACTGTGACAGCGACTACAGCAAGGGTGTGTTTCCATAAACATTTTTTTTTTTTAAAATAGGTTTTAAAAATCTTACTGTTTACAGTAAATATCACAGTGAGAGAGAACAAGAGGGGGTGTTCCCCTTCTCCCTGTGAGTCATGACTCGGGTGCCAGTAAAAAAAAAAAGGTTTGTAAGCTCAATCATCCAGGTAGATAAATATAAAACATCTGGACAACTTTCTTTTTTGGGAGAACCATGAGTCAGCGAGCGTGTCATCATGAAGACCTGTGCCGATCACGCAGTCTTGTGTGCGTATGTGTTGAAAGCAAACTAAAGTCTATAAAACGCCATCTGGTGGTTGATTCTTGTACTGCAACAAGAGCTGCACATTCTATCAGGAGCTGTGTACAGTTACTTATATTAAACTGTGGACACCTGCGGCTTATACACCAGCACATCTTAGTTATGTACAAAATTGTGTTTCATTTTCAATCTAGTATGCATGGTTTACAGTCAGGTGTGTTCTATAGACCGGCAATTACGGTAATAACAGGCAGAAATATGAATGCTGGAAGGTTTCAGTGTTTATTGATGCCTCACCGAGGATGCGAAAAATGAGGTGAAGTTCATCCTCTACAGTGGAGCCAGGAAAGAGAGGTCTACCAGTGATCATTTCATAAAAGATGCAGCCAACACCCCTGGATGAACAACAGAAAATACAAGTACAGATAAGATCACAACGTGAGCTGAAACTGGTAAATTGTCAATGGTAGATCAGCAATGCAGTGTTAGGTGAGCAGAAACTGAACCGTAAACTCATAATATTACCAAAACTGGTGTCAAGAACCCAATATGAGCTACTTAGAGGGTTGAGATGATCTCAGGAACCACTTTAAACTCAAAAATTATATTGCTTATTTTCATCATCATTGCGTTTTATGTACATGAATGTTCAGTGCCCTGAGATGACTTCTGTTGCAACTTGACGCTAAATACAGTAAATAACTGAATTGAATTGTTACACAAAATAAAATCTGTGCTTATGTTTGTGTTGCTATTCTGTCTTTGTTTACCAAAGTTTATTAGCTACAGTACGTTTGCATAAAATGGGTCAAAGTACACCTTGATTTTGTTCAGTATGCAATGATCCTTGCACAAATACAGACCAAAAAAAAGCACAGTTTAACAAAGTTGTGCAATGTTTACATGGTCAACTAACTGATCAATAGTTGCAAGCTCAATGACTTCTTCAAATTAACTGCAAACAGCTTAAAACTATGACTTTTGTTTAATGCAAACAGGTAAACAACCCTTTGCACTTCACTGTTTTGTGTCCACAAGCAAAAAGTAAGTTAGCCATCAATAAAGACGATGTTTATTCTTTTAATCTTTGCATCTCGGTTATCAGGTGCAGTTTAGTTGAGTTCAAAACCTTACAATGTGGAAGTAGTTGACAGAGATGCACAGAAAAACTGAATCAAAGAGCGACTTCTCACCACATATCAATGGGTGTGGAGTACTCAGTTGAGCCCAGCAGCACATCTGGAGGTCGGTACCACAGGGTCACCACTTCATTTGAGTAGGTCTTCGTAGGAACAGACTTGGCTCGAGCTAAACCTGAAATAATACGCCACGAGAAACGCAAAGGTTTTTTTTTTATATTGCCTTTTTTTGGATGATATGGGGAAAAACAAGTTAATGTAATAAAATGCTCCATTTTAGTTTTATTTGCCTTTATATAATTACTAGAAGACATATTTTATACACTTGAAACCTGAATATTTTATCGATAACAAGAGTTAAAACACCATTTTCTTTCTTGACAAGTAAGATTTGATCCCTCAAACACAAAATCATCATCCTTTACCACAAGAGGGCAGTATAGGGTGGGAAACTAGCCATTTTATATAAGGCCTAATGCTACATCATGAAGGTCATATTTGTTTGTAAGACTTGGTAAGTTGAGAACAGATAACCAGCCCATCTCTGGGTTAGTTTTGGGTTGGTAGTTACTTCAACTTAACATACCCCATTGGGTCTGAAGAGCAACAGAACCTGAAGGAGTCACTTCAAGTTTTCAGACTCTTTGTTCCCTTTTCAAGAACATCATTATTTCTAAATTCTCATCATCATTTTGTAACATCCAGGAACGTGTCAAAACAAAACAAAAAAACATTTAACTGATTGTTAAATGCTGAGAAAGAAAGGTTGCGGTACAAGAAACTATCGCTCTAAAATGAAGGTCAGTTGCACATATGATCATATGTTCTCATGTAGAAGAACATTTTACCACTAGTTTTTACTACAAGGACATGAGCCAGTTTGGTTCTGCTTTAAAACATTTTTTGCAAATATAGTGCAATCATTAAAGTAGAGCAAAAAGAACAAATGCCCTTCAATCTAAAATCAGCATTTTAACTCTTTGACACTTCAATTTAAAAGCATGTGATAAGTACGTTTAAACGCAACATACGATACTGAGATTGTGCTTCCAGTGAGTTGAAGAGTAATTTACCAAAATCTGCCAGTTTGAGCTCTCCTTTCTCATTGATGAGCAAGTTCTGGGGTTTTAGGTCTCTGTGGAGAACCTTCCTTCTGTGGCAGTAGGCTAGCCCTCTTAAAAGTTGGAATAGGAAAATCTGAAGAGGCAAAAGAAATAGTGTCTCAGTGGTGCAGCAAACCCAAATTCTCTGTAATCAGCAGATGTTTGACTTTACCTTGACATTGTGAACACTCATGATGCTCCCACAGTCATCCATATATTGCTTGAGGTCTTTTTCCTGAGGGAAAAGTGTAGAAATATACATTACACACTTTGTTGATTCTAACACACCTTAAGATTAATGAGGTACGTACCAGGTACTCAAACACAAGAGTCAGGCACTTGTCTGTGTGGATGATGTCATGGAGAGTGACGATGTTTGCATGTTTCAAGTCTTTTAGTAGAGACACTTAGAGGGACAGACATCAGACACGATCAGTCAAATAAAAATTACATTTAGGTAGTGACACAGCTCAAAGATCATCCAGAAAACTAACAGGCTCATTAACATATACATCTCTTCACATACTGTACGCATCATCGTGACTTTTACCTCCAAATCCTTTGATTTGAACGTGTAAATGGGAGTGGGGTACCTTCTCGGATGGCCGTGCAGGGAGCGCCCTCCTCATGCTCCAGGCGTATCTCTTTCAGAGCCACTAAATTGTCTGTTAACTTGCTTCGGCCTTTAAACACTGTGGCGTATGTACCCTGAAAACAAAATCCGAAAGCATTTGTAAAAAGAAATAATAATAATTACAAAAAATGGAGTATTGATGGATTCAATTTTTCTTATCGTCGACCTCACCTCGCCTAGTTTGTCCAGTTTGATGTAAGTCTCAAGTTTCCCAAAGCCTATTTCAGACTACAAGGGGACAAAAAAACAGATCAAGTTAGCAGTGTTTAACTGAGCCAGTTTAGATTTGTTTCCAGTGCAACCTGTTTGTAGGTAAAGCAAGGAAACTCCATCAGGTTTATGCACATGATGCATTGAGCCCAGTCATCCATGTTGTGGACGTCCAAAACAAAGTCCTGCTATTTCTGACGAGTTGTCTTCGGCTGTAGGAGGCAGAGTCACCAAGAAATGCGTGTCCCTCGTGCATGTCAAGTTACCGTATTTTCCATCGTACATGTCGCACTGCCCTATAAGTCGCATTAGTCCATATTTGTCTAATAAAATGGAAAAATCCATAAATATGCCGCGTCTATTATGCGTCACCGCTGACAACCCGGAAATGTGGGCCGGTGTTGTGCCAAATATCGATGGGCTGCCAAATGGCAGCCGTGGGAGCGTGCACGGAAGGACTTTAACAAAAATTTAACACAATTAACACTTAAAAACAATAATTTGCTTGCTCAAAATTATAGCAAAGGTGGTCTCAGTCTAATGTTTGCTTAATAAATGCACTTTGATGGTCAAATTAGCTGCATTTCGCCCGGGCGGTGCAGCTGGTTTAATTTGCTCCAAGCAGCTAGCAGAACAAAGGTGGGGGAACTAAGGCAAGCTGATTGTGTCATAAATAGCTGGTGAAGATTCTCAGTCATCCAGGACATGGTAAATTCAAAAAAGTTCAAGGAAACAAAGTATAACAAAGTATAAAGTATAATAAATAAAGTTCAGTTGTTTTTGTCTTGAACTTTTTTGAATTTGTCAATATAGCCACATTTACCTATTGCATGATACAACAGCATGCCTTATTACTACTACTACTCTGCTGCCATCAAGTGGTTGAAAACGGTACTGATTTTTTTTGTTTGTTTAGTTTTTTGTTTTTTTTTTCAGTCAGAATGAATGAAAACGGTCATATCTCAGCCAAAAATTGGTTTATAAATATGGGAGGAAATCCATAAATACATCGCTTTGGCCTATAAGGCACATGGCATGTAAATTATGCAAAAAAACTGACTTATGGGCCAAAAAATATGGTACATGATGTTTTGTTTCTGTCATTTTTCACAGGAAGTCAGAGTAAAACAGCAACAACCAAACACAGTAAAACAGGCAACACGTCTTCAAACATTTCTAGACCTATCCATGGGGTATACCTCACATCTGTGTGCAGTGCAAATTCTTAATTATTCCCGACTTCAGTTAATCCACAACAGGTTTAGTTGTATTATGTATGTCACCCCTGGGTTTCAAGGCCATGAATTATAAATGGATGTAGCAGCATCAAGCTGTGGCAGCCACAGGCCTGTCAGGGTGTTTTCCTCTGTCACTTCCTCCCTCCGAACTTGTTGTCTCCATCAAAGATGGTTTAACAACGTCTGAAGCGTCAACGTTCTGCATCTTGAGCTCATCTGTCCAATCGCACGAGAGCTGCTCAGAGCATGTATTTATGTTCATGAGGAGGGGGAGGGCGGTCACTGACCAACTTAACTGATGAAGCATGTGATCTCTTTAAAGCGATGCCTTAAGACCCAACATCAGAGCAAGTTTAGACTCAAAGACTAACACAGCGTAAGGGAGTGTGTTGATGGATTTACAGTACAAACAGCAGCTTTATCGGCTAGCTGCAACACAGATGCATCCTGGGAACTTCCTGCTGGAACATCATGATAGTTCTGATAAAATATAAATGTAACATGAAACCGACAGTGGTGTTATAAAATAGTGTCCAAATGAACTACTATAAAGCTTTAAGATCCGTCAGGTTCAGTCTTTTATAACTTTGGTCTTGAGCCGTCAGTTCGGTCAGAATTTAACTATTTTGTTCAAACTGAGGTCACCCTTCAAGCTGACCTTAAACTAGTCAAGCCCTACATTTATGTCCCTACAACACTGTTAAATAAACATAAATGTCCTTCGGTTTTTAAACTCCACATTTACAGAAAAACAAGCACCCCATGCAGCTGCTCCCATCTCAGGGTCAGTGACAGTGGCTGTCAGGAAGCATTGCTGAGCTCTGCTGCTCTCTCGGACAAGAGCTGGTCTCTCGAGCACCACACACCCCGACACTGACTCAGAATAACATACATTACTGCCACCTCTCCTCACACCAGCCGCACTCTACTGATAAAAAGCCTTTATGCTTCTTGTAGCGTCCCCAAAACAACAAAAAAGGCTCAGCTCTTTGCAGCCAGCCCACTTTCTGCAAATGGTGTGCTTCATTTTTATGTACACGCTCTTGAGTGTATGCGTGCACGGTCGCTTGCATACGCTTTTGAAGGCAACGGGTTCATTTCTTTCCCAACACTCCAGTAAGCTTACTCAGCAGAACTAGGTCAGACCAAGTTTTAGAGGCGAAATTAATGCAACGTGAAACAGAACAATTTGACTTTGTGTTCTATTTGAGTCTGCGCAGGGACTGAGGAGACAGCTGAATTGATGGGCCCCGAGCAGGAAGAATAAGAGCCCAAATGTCTGTAGCTGTGATGAAAATGCGTGCTGAGAAGAAGGTCCATTCCTTCAACATTTCATTTGCAATTATGGTTTTCTTCATGTGCAGGGTGTAGGACAGATTGAGACTGGGAGAGATGCAATGAGAGTGTTGAGTGGGAGACAGAAAATGACAGCCGTCTTAAAAAACGGAGGCCGGCAATGAGAGGAGGGAGTAAAGCAACAAGATCTTCATGCAGGTTGTTTGCTGGATAAGGTTGTGTCTAGTAATTAGCTCTAAATTATTTTAGGATTGAGCAGAGGTATTTTCAGTTTCTCTTTAGATTTTGGCAGCTGTTGTTTTATTTTCAATACTGTCTTTCACCATTTTCTGAGACTTTCTTACAAGCCAAGTTATTACTGACCTTTGAATCACTGGAGAACAGAAAAGTGATGTTTCTACTTAACAAATTAACAGAATTTCAAAACACTAAATTTAGCTCTTTAATCATGTCGTTACATCCACATAAAATACAAATTGACCCAAACTATTTGGAAAAAAATACATTTGACATATTTTATGTTTGGATGGTTAATTATTTTGTGTTTGGATTAAGTTTCTTGAACTTTATATTTGATAGTCAGTTTATTATATGCTTATTTTATTTTATTTATTTTTGTTACTACCTCTTTCAGCCTGACTGTATTTTTTTTTGTTTGTTTTTTCATGGGAATAGTTTCTCCTCAGATCCACAGTTTTCTCTGTCACACACCTGTCTGCCATTCATGATCACCCCAGCTGTTTCCATTAAGTAATCACCTTGCCCAGTACTTATACTCCTTTTAGTTAAAACCTTAGAATAAAGTACTGGTAAGTGGATCAACAAAAGGACGCCACATCAGTTAGGAACTGTCAGATCTGTCGTTTTGTTTTCTGTCAAAAGCGTATGCTACATAAAGCTTATAAAAATATTTTTTTGTCTTCAATTTGCCTCGTTTCTTCATTTAAGAGCTGAATATAATGGCAAGACATGTCTTTTTGTGTGTTTGTGTTATTAGAGTAAATTGCATAATATAACCAAGTGTTGCACTTTCAGATAAAATACAGTCTCATCTCTTAGCACCACGGAATACCGAATCTCACTGAACTGCTTTGAATTATTGATCATCAGTGGGGAAACAGCCATGACCGAAAACTGATACCTGCCAGTTTCACTTGCATTACACAGGAGGTGATTCAGTGATCGAAATACATGGCTTCAAATGCAAGCATCTGTTCTGTGACACCGGACACATGTCTATGATACGGTAACAAACAGAAACGACATGAACAGCTCAAAGACTATTACCGTAACACGCCTGAGAACATTTTAATGCTCAGAATATAACAGTCGAATACAGAACAAGTAAAAAATATGTCTCAAAGCTAATGGATATGTAAACATTATATGGTGAAGACAAAAACTACTTTGTCTTTATTGCAAAAATATTTTCCATTTAAATAAATAATCCAATTGCAATCTAGCTTGTCCTACACATTACACAGTCAGCAACACGCCTGGGATAAATATTAATGTCCTGATACTCAGACTTCTACATAGACTGGTTTGAACTCTTTCTTGGGGTGTTTCTTTGTTTAGTAAGCTGTGCACTTTTGAAAACAGTGACATCGTTTTCATTAATCCCTTCTTATTCTCCGCTTTTCCTCTTTCTGTATCTTTTTCCGTCTTCTTTGCTCACCAACTCCCCTTCAAGGTGTCCTGGAGTGAAATCCTATTCAGAGGAGAGGCTACAGCAGATGAGTCTGACACTGCTGCTGAATTATTGATTGATCTATTACATCACATACATTCAAGAACCCAAGATACACAGTTGCACATAGGTCCAGTCACCCCTAAAACCCAAGTCAACACAGATCATTTTATCCTGAAAACTACTCCTCCCTCTCTGCTTCAGTCTACCACCTTCAGCCGGATACTTTCACCTTTTATCAAAGAGAAAAAGCAAATTTAAAGATATGATCCTTTCATAGCTATGAGACTCCTGCAGAAAAGCAGCATTGCTCAATTACTTCAAGCTAGAGAGATCTAGAGGTAGAGGGACCTTTTCCAAGATTACAGCAAATATGGTTGACGGAGGGCAAATCCTCTAAATTCTAGAGGCTTTCAGTAATCTTGTTAAAAGGACAAATTCAGTTTGCCTTAGTGAGACAGACTGAATCTGATTTAAAACAGAGCAAGATGATGTAAGTGAAACAAAGAGTAGTGCACTGAGCATGAGCAAGGAAGACCTGAAAAACCCACCGGTGATAAAAGCCAAACGTAAAAGAAATAATTAAATTAAATTAAAAGCAAAAATAGACTAAATGTCATAAATACTAAAGCAGTAAAAAGGTATACAGCATAAAAACATGTAGCATATTAATGATGAATCTTCTGTTCGCCCCATCACCCTCTGATTACATCTCGCAGTCAACCCCTCCCCTCTCCTGCAGCACTCCCTGTATACCCATAATGCTCTTGTCCTGGATGCATAATACAGAATAGATCATTCGTCCCCCTGCTGGGGCTTTCATACGTTCTTTGGCAAAACTCTGCCTGAAACTAGCCTATGTCTTTGTATTATCTGTGTGTGATGGTGTTGGATGCTGATATAATGGCCTCAGGCAACCGTTTCAGGCACGAACAATGCCCCCCCCACCCCCCACCAAGGTTTATCTCAGTTTTGTTTCCAAACAATGCAGCCACAAATAAAGAAGCACACGCCCAGCTGAACTGATAAAAAGTACACATGAATATAATTCAAGGATTCAAGGTTCTTTATAGTCATTCACATCACATGTGGTACATGAGATGGAACGAGTTTGTGTAAACAGGGTCCCAGTTACATCCAACAATAGCAAAAATATAAAGTGTAACAAGAAGCAGTAAATACGGATCTAAGATGTAAACCAAGATATACGCTAAACGAACACTCAACAGTACGCTAAAAGATCTAAGCTGTAACGCCAGTCACTAATAGTGTAAAAGCAATGCACTGAACAACAGCAGCACGATTCTCGTAGGTTCTGTTATAATTTACACGCTTAATGCGAGCACTAACAAACTAAACTAACATAAACTAGGATTTATTCAAAGCTTGGAACAAAAATACAGAAGCAATACGCCAAAAGTGAAAAAAAAAAAATCAATCTACAGCAGCATGGTCCAATTGGTGGTTGCATATGTTGTGCATATGAACCAAAGCAGCTACAGTAATTACCTAACGCCAAACACTTTCATAACAAGTATCACTTCAGAAAATACTACACCACCAATTGCAATAGATATTATAAACCAGTAGTGCTAGCTAAACCCCTAACTATGGTTGAATGGGTGATTAAAATGAGATTTTGAGATAACGTTGAGTTGTTGTTGAAGAGAACAGCAGCAGCACGTTCACTGTGGTCAGAGCTCTTCTTTTACTCCACAACAACTAAATAAAAATAAAGCCAACTATAATCAAACATCTCACTGTTGTGAACAACCTATATAGACTCCAATGGTGCTGCTTCGTTGGCCACTGGGTTAATGGGTTAACCATTGCCAACTTGTTTCTACAGTGGAAGTAAAAATGTTCTTCACTGCAATTTCTGTTTCAAGTACAGTAGTTTCCATTTGGAGGCAAGATTGTAAACTGCTTATAATTTTGGGCTATTTGTAGTTATTGGCTTTACATTACAATTTGACTTGTGATGATTAACTTATCATTTACCATTTAAGTAGTTGATACCAAAATTTCTGATACCACAAGTACCACTAAAGGGTTGGGGTGTGAGATAAAATATACTTTAGATGCATGATATTGCAGGCTCAAAAGATTCAGAATCTTTTTTCAAACATCACATTTTCGTATAACTTGTGAATAATTATATACTGTAATTATAATAATTATAATTTGTGAATAACTTAACTGTGATTTTAAAAAAGGTACTAATCACAATGGCTTTTCTAAGGTGTCTCCAGTGAGAATCTATACTAAGCATTGGTCAGCAGCCTGTGATTACTAGTTTTTTGTTTGGTTTTTTTACATTATTGTGTAATTTTTATTGAGCATAAACATATTTAACTCTGTTTATTTATGTAAAATAAGCTACAGGGATCCGGAGTCCTTTGCCACAGTTCGGGCACCATGGGCCTAGCACACTTGTGCACTGATCTAAGTGTACACACAACCACTCTGAGTACTGACCAGTGATGCACGTCGAAGCCGGCGGCTCATGGGTTTGTCAAAGGGCGGGCTGTTCATGGCAAACTTCTCCAAGTAACCTTCCGGTAGTCTGATGTCAGCTGGGAGAGACAAACGCTTGTTGATGTCCTGAGAAAAAAAAAAAAGAGGACAAAGGATTTATAAATTTTAAACAGCATCATCATCACACAAGACACGAAGCAGAAAACCCAGAACAATTCTTTTGTGGAAAAAATGTAAAGTAGTTTAACATCACACAGAAGATTTGTATCTAGTTAGCTAGTTAACTTAGCTGTCACTGACTCTGTGCTATCCACCTCTGTAACTGGGGGATTGGGTTCAGCAACTACACCGGACGTTAGGAAGCTGCAGGCAACAGAGTGAACTGTTGAGGGAATCATCAGTCTTTACTGATCCCCACCAGGGTTTGCATCATGCCTTACCATAAAACAAGCAACAAAAATCACCTCAGAGCCTCACAACCCGGACATAGACCTTTCGAGCTGTTACCTTCAGATAAGCCCCCAAAAAAGTGAAAGCCTAAAAGATCAAAACCAGTGTTTACCCACAATGCTTATGAACCAAATGTCTGCCCTTTAAGTTCAAGCAAATGCAAATAAAGCAATATTTTTAGTTAACAGAGCTGTGTTAAGTTTAGCTGTAGTTAACTTTATTTTACTAAACACCCATAGATACAATTAATGTAACTTTTGCTCTAAGGTGAACACATTTTTAGACATTGTTAGAAGCAAACATTCTGTCACTTTTGAGATGTTTATAACAAGTTCCAACATGCAACAAATGGAATATCTCATGTCGCACAGTGAATGAGCTCCTTTATATTGTTCCCATAACACAAGTTCATACGGCTGCAAGATGCCGATCACACTTCATTTTCATGGCAGCTGAGGTCAGATGGCCCCTGTGAGTATTTCATATATGCATGTAAAATATAATGCTAATGTATTTTACTTTACCTGAGCTCACAAGGAAACATGCAGCATCCCAGATAAAGCACAATCTTTAGTACAGCTACACCAGACATCTAGAATACTTTGACACAGTGAAAATGTAAAGCAATGTCGTCAAATTAGCACACGTTCAAAATTAAAAGTAACTCGGATTACATGAGCTACTGCTGGCTGATGTTTACATATTTTAAGTATCTGCATAAGAATAGAGACCAAAAACCCTTTTATATAAACACACATATACATCTCATTGATAATGTAAGTGCCTCCAGATGTCCATACTGTTATAGAAGGGGTAAGGATGGTCACAAGTTCAAACACACACACACACACACTCACTCCCTCATGTTCACTGCTAGAGCTTAAAAAAAGACCCACACACACAAACACACACATGTGCCTCTATACTCACAATGCAGAGCAGCTCTAGTAGCTCCCTCATTGTCCTCCTTAAACGTTGTTTTTCAGTTCCCTCACACACATGCGCTCTCAACATTGTATGTCCCTGACCTGATACATGACTGCACACGCAGCCAGGGAGAGAGAAAAGAGGGATGGCACAGTGGTAGAGAGTCCTCCGCGAGCTCAAAAAGAGGAGGAGGAAAACCGAGGAGGGGGAGGAGGGGGGGGTGGAAGCAGGAGGAAAGTAGAATAGGCAGATTCCTGAGGGGGGAAAAGCCAGATGGGGGGAAGGGGTGATCAGATGGGGGTGATGGTGATGGAGAGAAAACATTGCTTTCATCTCGTTTCCTACCATCGCTTTGCCCTTCAGCTCTACACCATCCTTTTCCCCTCTTTCTTTGCAGCCTTATTCCTCTGCCCGTCTCTATACCACAGCAGGAATTATTCCCACATTCATAATTATTCTGTCACCCCAGCATGTTTCCCTCCACACTGCCCCTCCGTCCCCTTCTCTTTCTCTCCACAAGATAAACATGGTCCAAATTAGTCCTTTCCACTGCTCACAGCAGTCAAGACGCTGCGTGTCCAGAAGCATTTCCAGTAATACTGCTGTGCTCATCACTTTGCAACGCCTTCAAAAAAAATGCACAGTCTGACCGAGACTTGATCAAACATTCGAGTTTGTGTTACACAGAAAACTCAATATTAAATGTGCTAGATAAATGTCAGCTACAAACTAAACCTCCTTCGTGATTTTATTTTTTCTTCCACTGTTCAATGCAATTAAGTCACCTTTTTGAGCAGACTTGAGTTTAAACATTTAATATGTATGAATTTTGACAAGACACTGCTCAAAAATCTTAACATCAATCTATTATTTCTCTTCAAAACAAAGGTTTCAGACATATTAGGTTTATACCTGACAGCAGTGTTTTAACTGAGAAGCTGTACGCCAGTTAGCAAAATGTAAATTTGTGTTAAGAGAACATTTACATGAACTTAAATGCTACCAACAACAAATGGAGGAATTGCCATTTAGGTGTTTGTTGGTGAAAACAGCAGAGTTTTCATAGGATGGTCTTAGGGGTGTGGAGGAAGGACAGAAAAACCTCAAATGTAAGGCTTGGGACAGCTCTCTCTCTTCTTTTGAAAAGTAGTTTAACTTTCCTTTTTATTTACCTTTTGGTTGGATAAGGGAGGCAATGTTTTAGTGATAGAACTAAATCTACTTGGTTAGGTTTAGGCACAAAAACTTCTTGGTTGTTAGGGATGCACAATATTATCGGCATGATATCGATAAATAGTGTTAAAGTTAAATATTAGACATCGGCCATTCCATCAAAACAACTCACCAATATAAAAGACACTGTTTGTGTATGACAACCCAGTGACAAGGATGTCTGCAGTGCTAGCACAACACGATGACGTCATGCGCGCCTACCTGATCTGATCACGGCGGAGAGGAAGAAGTCAAAATGTCGGCGGTGTGGAAGTTTTATTTGGTGAGGATGTCAGATTCTGTAGATTTTTGGACTACTCTGAGCCTCACTACATCGTCCCCCGTCAGAGACAGTTTTCTGATGTAGCCTTACCCGAGTTACAAGCTAGCTGTCATTTCCGACATTGAGAAGCTAATAGCTGATAGCACTTGGGTGAGTTTTACCACAGACATTTGGACGTCAAGTGTTAGCCCCGTTAGCATGATTAGGCTTACGGCACAATGTCCTTCATGCACAAGAGGGCACAAGATCTCACACTGCAGCTAGAAACCCGAAACGAGCCTCCACATGTGAGACAGCACTGCAGGTGACTAATGCTAATAAATAATATTCAACACTTTTAATGTAATATAAGTTAAAGTGCTATGCATATCATATGGCTGTTACTGAATATGTCACCAGCTCTTATAGCTGTTGCACATTTTTTGTAGCAAATAAGCCTAAATAAGAGGAATATGTTCTGACAAAGGAAAGTGTATAAAATATCTGTATCGGTTATCGGCCAAAAATCCAATATTGTGCATCCCTAGTAACCATGCATCGTTTCCGCACTGCAATGTCATGATTATAGCTGATGCCTATGGCTCTACATGGCTGTGGCTGAGTGATTCCACCAGCAGTCACATACTGAAGTGTCCCTGGGCAAGACACTGAACACTTCACTGCCACTGATGTGTGTCCCATCAGTGTATGAATGTGATCTAAAGCGCTGATTAGTTTTTGTAGAGATATAGTAGAGTGCTGTTTGAACGGGTAAATGAGGGCACAGGTTGCAGCACTGAGTGTCTTGATAAGATAGAAAGGTGCTATACAACTACAGTCCATTACACTGTAAATTGCTGCAATGAGACTATATAGATTAGCAGTATTTTTTCCATGTTAGTGGGACACTACAAACTACTAATTTATCAACAACAGAAAAAAAATATAGCCTGGAATCTGATCCACTTTATAGCTCTCTTCATTATTGGGGGCCCGAGATGGTGTAGAGGGGCCGAGATGGTGTAGAGGCAGGGCAGCCGGCTTGGGACCCGAAAGTCCCAGGTTCGATCCCCAGTCACTGCACATCACGTGGCGTCTCTGGGCAGCACGTCTCATCCCCAAAATGTCCCCCGGGCGCTTTCAATAGCTGCCCACTGCACCACCTGGTGGTGGATGGGTTAAATGCAGAGACTAATTTCGCCATTGTATGGAAACATACAGTGCTGACATTGTGATGACATTATTATTATTATTATTATTATAAATGTATTTTATAGTACATGTTACTGGAGAGAAGGTTTTCCCACAGCCTTTTGGCATCACTGTCAGATTTAATAAATTAGGTTTTCATTAAGGTTTTCTTTGGGACATATTCCTGAGAACCTCGTGTAAAAACATGTGTGAAAATTTGCTTCAGTTTCCAGTACCTCGTTAGATATGCGTCGATGGTGGTTGTTCCTCATGCGGACCCTTACTGGACTCTGGACCTCATCAGAAGACGTACCAGAAGCTTGATCGCTTTCCCCGTCTGAACCCATTTTCACATTTTCATGGACAATACCTATAACACAAACACACAAACTGCTATTACACACTTTGAGAAAGTAGTATGGTAATTAAGATAACTAATTTAGGTTCATTTTAATTTGTGTCGTGTTCAATTTTCTGTTAAAACAGTTTTCCGATATCATTTGGAAAAGAGGCGCTCAAGAGACACGTTTTTCTGTCTCCGATGTCGTTTACTCTCTAAGAGAACAAGAGTAAGGGCTCTATTTCTCAAATGATGGATTATGTCACCAGTAATGGAAGGGGTGTTAACCAAGTGTGTATAAAATGCCACTGGTAAGACGAGGATGTCAGAGATCAATATACCACATGCAACGAGAGCTTCCTCATCTCTTCCCATCATCCCCCTACACCTCCATCCGTCCCAGAATCCATCTGATTAATGAGTCACGGTACGACTGACAGGACTGCCTATAGTGTGTTTGTGTTTGAGTAAATGTGGGGGAAGGGTGAAATTGTTAATCTCCAGTCTTTCAGTTCACTATCAGTTCAGTCTGGGTCTTACACCCCGTACAGTCACCGTTTGAAGCTCTGTGTTTGAGTGCTCGTTTTGGTGTATGTGATCAAGAAATTTTCCTCAAAAAAGGCTCAGAGGCTGAATTTACACCATTAACTCTACTGTTTACATTTACAACAACTTCCTTGTTGCAGAAAACTGTCAGGTAGCAAAGATTAGGAGGTCAAGTAGAAGAAGTTTATTGAAGGAAGAAGTGATTAGGCAGAAAGAAAAACAACTTCCTTCAGTGATTCCGGCAACTCTAATATAACTTAAGAGTCAGATAATTTGTTAGGGTGTGTTGTATGTCAGCTGCAAAAGAAAAAATGAACCTTTCTAGGTCATTTCTATGTATTTTTCATTTGTAAAAATGATAGTATTTGAGAAGACAGGACACATACTTTGTGTTAGTGTTTAGAAATTTAAAAAACTTAGCAAATATAGTATTCAAATGTCTTAAAAAGTATTAGAACACTGTAGGTGAAAATAAATTGTTTTGGTAAAGGTAATTATATTAATTCTCATTACCATATTTTTCGCCATACACGTTGCTCCGCCCTATAAGTCGCATCAGTCCATATTTGTCTAATAAAGTGGAAAAATCCATAAATGTCGCTTCCCCGTATACGTCGCATCTATTATGCGTCACTGCTGACACGTCCGTTTGTTACGCGTCACCACTGACAACCTGGAAATGTGGGCCGAACCCGGAAATGTGGGCTGGTGTTGTGCCAAAAATTGATGGGCTACCAAATGGCGGCCGCGGGAGCGTGCACGGTAAGACTTGAACAAGAATTTAACAAGATTAACTTAAAAACAATTATGTGCTTGCTCGAATTTATAGTAAGTGTGTGTCTCAGTCTAACGTTTGCTTAATAAATGCACTTTGACGGTCAAATCAGCTGCATTTCAAAACCCGATACGTGGAAGTAAACGCATGCACGCGAAGAGTCACTGTGCAAATTTAACAAGATAAACGCCTCAAAACAATTTGTTTGCTTGAAATTATATTAAATGGGTGTCTCAGTCTAACGTTTATTTAATAAATGCACTTTAATGGTCAAATCATCTGAATTTCAAAAAGTTTTGCTGCCTCTGTGGTCCCGGGAGCGTGCAGAGAGAGGAAAAAAGGAGGAAGAACGCGGCTAGTTTCTTCAAAATTTCACAAGAAAAGCACCTAAACAAGTATTTGTTTGCTCAAAATTATAGCAAGGTGTGTCTCAGTCTAACGTTTGCTTAATAAATCACTTTAATGGTCAAATTAGCTGCATTTCGCCGGGGCAGTGCAGCTGGTTTGACAGTCGGTCCAAGCTGCGAGTAGAACCAAGGTGGGGAGACAAAGGCAAGCCGATCGAGTTATTAAAAGCTGGTGAAGATTCTCAGCAGGACATGGTAAAGTCAAAAGAGTTCAAGACAAAACCAATAAAGTATAAAGTATAATAAATAAAGTCCAGTTGTTTTTGTCAAACTTTTTTGAATTTGTCATTATAGCAACATTTACCTATTGCATAATACAACGGCATGCCATTCTGCTACTACTACTCTGCTGCCATCAAGTGGCTGAAAGTGGTACTGCTTTATTTTTATTTCCCCCCCAAGTCAGAATGAATGAAAACGGTCATATCTCAGCCAAAATTTGGTTCATAAATATGGGAGAAAAAAAAACATATACGTGTTGCTTCGGCCTATAAGTCACAGGACATGTAAATTATGCAAAAAAGTGTGACTTATAAAAGCAGAAAATATGGTATATCTCTTTAAAAGGAGGGGGGGAAATGTAATTGTATTCATAAAGGCCCAGAAATGGCCACTATTAAATAAACAAGTGGTACACAGATGTGACCTTTCACTGAAGGGTTTGAATAGTGAATGTTTGTAGTTTACGAGACAAGTGTTTTTCTGGACTGGAATTGAACAGGGAATGCAAGTATGGGATACTTTGAACAAAGTCAAATAACAGATTTAATAATAAGGTAATAACACTACCAATGTAGATATTAAATCTGCCCCTCTGGTAAATTTAATGTAACCGAATGAAAGCAGAAACAAATGCTGCCTCCATTTCGGTCTTTGGACTGCTTGGGCAGCTTCTTCAGTGAATGTGCTGTTCCTGGAAATGTTGGAAGAATGACATTAACAAATACAACATGTCCCAGTACACAGGACTCCAGGAAGGAATATATTAAAGCCAAACACCCTCATAAAAAAAATCTTATTCATTCAGTCAAGATTTTACTGGACTTATACTTTTATCATTTTAAAGGATATCTTTATTTTGTTACTAATTTTATTCCATGATGATAAACATGCAACTGCTGGGCTATGTTAACAGTAAGTCATGTTTTATTTTAGTTCAAGTTTTTTACTGGTATTTTGGGATTTTTAATATAATTTTTCATTATTAACCATTATGCATTAGGGATGCCAGTATGCATAAGAAACTAAGTTGGGTCCATACAGTACAGAGAGAGAAAAAATTGCCAAATGATGGGGTTTTTATTTTTTACCTGGCACTAACTGTACTAGATACCAAGACAGAAAACTAGTCATCTAAGTGTCAAACTAAAAGTTTGATAAACCCCAGAACATTTTCTTTTACATTTTTACTAAAAAATAAATTAAAATAAAACAAAAAGAAGGGAGTGTTTGTTTTATCAGGGGTATTAAATAAAAATACAAATGATTTACTACTGTACTTTTTAAAGAGCCGATTACACAATACCAGTGCTTGCCATACAGGCACCTCTTGTCTGATGCAGCTGCCTGTGGAAGCGAAGAGCTCTTCCTCAAAGCTCTGCTGAATAAAACAGGCAGGTCTTAAAGCGTGTTATGTTAAATCAGCTCTGCTTTGTTTGATTTATAGTGTTTTAGCTGGTGTTGTCCTATACTTTACTTCTGTCAGAGCCGTTAACAAAATGCTGTTAAATAAAACCTGTCCGTTTCTGGATGGCAGCGGTGATCACCTGTGGCAGTATCTGTCCCAAACATCTGTTATGAACGGTCATGGTACAAACAGATTTACTGTTACACACCGGATAAACATATTACAGACACTAAGTATGCATGGTAGCACTGACTTTCCTGAAACCCTACCATTGACTCACGCTGAAATGAAACATTAAAAAAGTAGTTATATTTTTAAATTGCAACAGAGAGGTTTTTACTGAGTCCATCAATAAAGTTACCAGGACAATTTATTTCAGCCTTTATCTCTTTCAGCTCATCAAGCAATTAATTATTCCAAAGACAAATCTATTCATGATGCAAATACTACTTCTGGTGACTATGTTTACACACAATACTAAATTTGAGGCATAAAAAGCAAACTTAAGGAGGTAATAAAGGAAGCAGTTTTGTAAGTAAACTGAGTATATCATAAATTAACTCTCACAACCCAGATGGTGAAACATAAACCTAGCGTACCTGACACCAAAGTCGTTGAAAACTGATCCAGGATATCTACACCCCAACAGACGCACACGTTAACATGGTTGTGAAATTAGTATGCAGCAATCAAATTACACTGGACTTCTTCCTCAGTTTCTGAAAGACCCTGATCATGATGGTTTGGGTCAACAGTCAAGATATGGGTGGGTGAGACAAAAAAACAAAAAAAACATCACATAGCAGGAAATCTCCACAAATAACCCGAACAATCTCATAATCTGGTGGGACTTAACAATACAAAACAGATATTCGTCTATATAACTGCTCTGAACAGAGCCAGAGTCTCACCCAAACACTCTCCTCATCTCACAAAACGTACATTTCAAGTTCCCTGCAGGTTCTCTGTGTTCCACCTCCAGAAAAGACAAAGAGCAGACAGTAAATGTCACAAGTTGCTGCTGTGTCCCAGCATGAAGCCAGCCTGGCCTAGTTAGGTTTCAGTCCCTGCTAAAAGACTGAGTGGGATACTTTTAGGACAACGCTTACCTCACCCAGCTCTGCATGAACCCCAGTAAGAAGGAAATTCACTCCACTACTTTAAACATGCTGGAAAATCCAACAGAGAGGATTTTAAAAAGCTAACATCTAGACTTTGCTTCAGAGTTGTAGAAATATTGAGATTTTCTCTCATAACGCCTCAACTTGTAATGGTCTGACGGTGAAATTCAGAAGGTGGTTCAGTGATGCAATAGTACAAATATCTGCTACAGTTCTCCAATGTACTCAACTTATATGATAATGTCAGGCTTAAGCTCTGAACAGAGATCTATTGTTCTCCCTAAAAGCCAGAGTTTGCAAACATTGTGTTTGAAAGTTGTGTAAACCAACACACTGCAGTCATTCTGTAGATAATAAAGTTATTAAAGAATTAACAGGAAAATCATTACTTCTTTGAGGAGTTCATTTAGAGTGTACCATTTGTACCAGCACAGTACAGTAGTCTCTCGCTACTTCGCAGTTCGTTTTTCACGGACTCGCTCTATCGCGGTTCATTTAAGAACAGTACTGTACATGTACATAATATTTTCCACAAAAAAATTAATAAAATAAAA